ATATATATATATAAACAAAATTAAGAATAAAATACTGAACAGTAAAGAGAAAATTACAGCTCAAAATATTGTGCAGTTACCAAAATAACATTATAGGAATTTGCAAATGAGTGTGATAATTAAAAAAAAAAGTCTGCAAAATGTTTCATGTGTATTTGTGCATTAAAAAACAGTTGATTTACAATTTGTGAAAACAAAATGTGCAAATACCAGCAAAGTTGTCATGTAAAATGAGCAAAACTGTGCAAATTACAGTACAAATGCCAGCAGGGATTTACACATTTATTGAGTTTTTAGGGATCAGTGATAGTTACAAAGTCTTAACAGTGGCTATAATGCCCCTTTACACATTTAGGATGCAGCAGTCTGTCACCGAAGTAGCTCTTCAGTTCAGCAACAGCTTCATGCATGGAGTGGGAGATATTGTACATCTGTGATGTTATTTTAGCCAGGCATTCCCAGGCCATAGTCCCTCCAGCGTGTCCTGGGCCTCCCCCGCGGCCTCTTCCCAGTGGGAAGTGCCCGGAACACCTCAGCAGAGAAGCGAACAGTAGGCATCCTAACCAGATGCCCGAGGCACCTCAACTAGCTCCTCTAGACATGAAGTAGCAGCAGCTCTACACTAACCCTCACCCTATCTCTAAGGGACAGCCCAGACACCCTGCGGAGCAACCATTTAGTTTTTGAGAAAACTGAGATTTAGCATGCTTTAAGGACTACTTTAAGTAAGTAATTGAAAACTGAGGTTAAAAAAGCTCAAGTTAATGGGGCAAACTCAAGTTGCATGATTATACATTGTTAGCGTATAACCTTATAAAACATTGTTTGTGCCATGGGCTAGCATCATGTTTATATCCAAATAGTTTGAAGGATTAAATCCTGAAAAAAAAAAAAAAACAAAAAAAAAAACCCTGTTGTGAAATAGATACTCATTATTCAAATTGTTTATCGTGTAACAGATTGGATGTTCTGCTTTGGTGTTTTTACTACTTTTTTGTGGGAAATGTTTGTTTTTGATGTTGATTTCCCTGATCGATAATCTCTGCTCTATCTGCTCGTTGAGCTGTTGTTTGCGGTTGCCATGGCAATGGGTCTGCGTGTAATGCCGACATACAGAGTGAGAAAAGGCGGAATAGAAGTTGTTGGAGCTATTTTTTCTTTATTTCTTTATCCATTTGGATTTTGTTACTTTATTCTTAAATTTCTATTTTTTGTATTATTTACAGAGTTTATTTGTAGGTTGATAACTGTTGATGTTTTATTATTTTTCTTATTTATTTTCTAAATTTAGACAGGAAGTAATCTGGGTCGGTCCACTTTCTATAAGTCTAGGGGCCTGGTGAAGGACCAGCATGCATTTGGGTTGCAGAGCTCATGGTTTTTACCAGAGCAAGAGAGGTAGCATGAGAACAGAAGAAAGTTTGAGCTCTGTAATTGGTGAAAGAGGAAAATAAATCATCAAGAACAATCAATAAGTTTGGACATTGAACCTTCTTTTGCCTGTGTCGAGAAACTTGACCCCAGTGCCTCAGTAGTGGCTTGATGGAACTTTTATTGGATGTTTGGTTTGGCAAACAATCAGAAGTGGTTTTGTCTAGTTTGGTTCTTCACCTGTTTGTCAGATTTATTGTACCTTTATTGCCGCACACTGCAGCCGTTGCAATTTCTAAAAGTTAAACAAGTGACAAAAACTGAGCTAATCCCCTCTGTTCGTAAAACGTAGAGAGATTACAGTCATCAAACAGCTCCTACAGCATATTTAATCCTTGTGTGTGCAAGGACTGAGGCAAACGTGGAGGACTGTGGCAAATGATATAAGTTTTACGGGTGTGGGGTTGGTTGGACCCCATTTGTAAACAGAAGGGTTAAAATAAAACAATTGACCAATATAAATAGAAATTCACCCATTC